TTGATTATTGACCATTTCTATCAATTTATTGTACATTGCATGAGGTCAGGATTTTGTCTTTGCTCATGGTAGAATCTCCAGCACCTAGAATAGTGCCTAGGACATAGTAGGTACTTGATAAATATTTATTGAACAAATAATAGATAATTACACATTTCAAAGATCTCAGACAAAGTTTCCAAGTACCAGATACAACATATTTTAACCTCGAATATAACTACAATCTTTTCTTTCCCTCTCTTCCCCTCTTCCATCTTTTATTTTAAAAATATATTGCATAATTATTTTATTTAATGTTATGGTACATTATTGAGATATGTATTTTTAAGCTGTGGCATATTACTGTGATATAAAGTTTTTTTTCTTTGTAATATTGAAGAAAGACTTCTGATATTTTGGCTTTGTGGTGAGGAGAATCAGGAACATATGTTAGGAGGAATTTTGGAGAGAGAAAGTATGAGTATTACTTTCATCTTCACCACTGGTTTAAGTGACCACTGTGGCCAAGTTACTCTCACTGCCCAGAATTTTAATAACTGTAGTATGAAGCTATAAGCAATATAAGTTTATAAAATATCAACTTTTATGGAGTGATTATTTTGTTCCATATATAATATTACCTTTGAGGTAGATACCATTAGCATTCCTGTTTTAAAGATGAGAAAAGTGAAGCACAGAGATTTATAATTCTTGTCTGATGTTTCATGGCTAGTAAGTAGAGGAACCAGTCCATCTATTTGATCAAAGTGTAAGTGGTTGTAGAACATTCTGAAAACTAATGAAGCGATTCCCATTTTTCCTTTCTACCCTGTGTAGAGGTAGAATGTGTGAATTCATATGGATATGAAATCATGGGGATATGAATTATGTTCCCCTCATTTTCTAGTTTCATGGTGTAACTGGTAGAAAGCTGAAATAATCCATGGAGAGCAGTGTCTGATATAAAGAATCCTGGTTTTCAAGAGATTTTCACTGCCCATTAGATCAGGAGCATTTTGAGACCTATTCAGGACTGTGACTTATTCATTTCTGTACTCACAACACTTACAGCAGGGACTAGCATGCAGAAGGTGTTCAATGAATGTTGGTGGAAGACATAAATAAATAGCCTGATTGTGGTGGGAGGGGATAAACATCATGCTAGAAAGGATTTGTAGCCCCAAATTATTGATTCAACAAATATTTATTGTTTAGATTATAAGTTCACACTACAGTCTATGTTCTAGGTCATTTCCAATTTTAGCAGAGGGCAGGGTTCTTGAGGCACTCTGATTCCTTGACTCCATAGCAACTTTGGTTCATTTGGATGGAGCCACTGCATTATCTGCTGTTTTGAGCCTGCTTTTTGTTAGGGTTATTTTTGTTTTTTAGAGGAAAAATCCAGACAGCCAAAGGCTCTGCTTGCCAGTTCACCTCTTATATTCTGTGGAGGGCTAATAGTCAGGCTGTTGTTTTGCTTCAGTACTCAATCCCAGTAATGATATCCTTGTTTTTCTGGCTGTCTTAGTTCATTTTCTGCTGCTATAACTTAATACTACAAACTGGATAATTTATAATGGACAGAAGTATTTTGATTTATGATTCTTAAGCCTGGGAAGTCCAAGGGCATGACACTGGCATCTTTGAGAGCCTTTGTGCTGCATCATAACATGGTGGAAGGGCAAGTGAGCATATAAGACAGGGAGAAGAAATCAGGCCAACCTCAGCCTTTACATTGGGATCTGCTCCCACAGTAATTAACCAGTTAGATGATAACAGCATTATCCATTCACGAGGGCAGAGCAGTCATGACATAATCTCCTCTAAAGGTCTCATTTCTTAATACTATTACAATGGCAATTAAAATTCAGCATCAGTTTTGGAGGGGACATTCAAACCATTGTATTCTACCCCTAGACCCCCAATATTCATATTCTTCTCACTTACAAAGTGCATTCATTTTATTCTAGTAGCTCCCAAAGTCTTAATTTGTTACAGCATCAACTCAAAAGTCCAAATTCCAGAGTTATCTAGGTCAGATATGAGTGAGAGTGAAGGCATGATGTATCCTGAAGCAAATACATCCAGCTGTAAGCCTGTGAAATCATTAAAATTATCTACTTCTAAAGTACAATCATGGGACAGGAATAGGATAGACATTCCCAGGCTAAGAGTGAGAAATAGGGAAGAAAAAAGGGGTAACTTGTCCCAACAGAATAACATCAATAACTCTTAAAGTTGGATAATATTCTTGGCTGGGTCTGTTTCACATCTTGGACACATTATTGTGGGGGATGGGCTTCCAAGGCCTCAGGCAGCTGTGCCCCTTATGCCTTGCTGGGCTTAGTCCACCCAGTAGCTGTCATGGGTTGGAATCTTGTGCCTATTTTGAGGCTACTGTTGCATGTTGCTGGCCCTAGAGTTCTGGGGTCTCTGAGGTGATCTCTCTCCCACCGCTCCATTAGTCATTGCCCTAGTGGGGACTTTCTGAGATGGCTCTGCTCCTGTGACAAGCCTCTACTGGGGTTCCTTGGTGCTGCGTGACATCCTTTGAAATCTAGATAAAGGTAGGCATGCCCCCACAGTTCTCACATTCTGTGAGCCTACAGAGTTCATACCATGTGGATGCTACCAAGCCTTGCCACTTGCTTCTGCTGGAGTGGTGGGCTGAGCTTCACCTGAGTCTGTTTAAGCCATGGCTGGGGTAGCTGAGGGGCACTATATCAGAATACAGTGAGCAGAGGCAGTCCTGGGCAGGATTGAAGATCTCTAAAATGCATTCAGAGTCTCTCTCCCATTGTTTTAATGAAAAACATCTGAATCCCTCTATTCATGTTAATCTGTTTAGCAAACTGTCACTTGGCTGAGCCCTTGGTATTCTCTCCTGAACATATTTTTTCACTCTTTACATGGCTAGGATGAAATTTTCCAAATCTTTCAATTCTGCTTCTCTTTTCATCATAAGTCCTCTCTTTAGGGCATCTCTGTGCTCTCGCATCTCATTGTATGTGGTTAAAAGTAACCATGCAGCAGACTGAATGATTTGTTTCTTAGATATTTCTTCCACCAGCTATCCTAGTTTATCACTCTTAAGTTCTACAGTCCATAAAGCTCTAGGACACAGATACAGCTCTGTTAAGTTCTTTGCAACTGTATAACAAGGATGGCCCTTATTCCAGTACCTTGTTCCTTATTTCCATCTTAAACCTTATCAAATGAACGTTGCCTTCTATATTTTTCTTTTTCTTTTCTTTTCTTTTTTTTTTTTTTGAGACGGAGTTTCACTCTTGTTGCCCGGGCTGGAGGGCAATGGCACAATCTCGGCTCACCGCAACCTCTGCCTCCAGGGTTCAAGCGATTCTCCTACCTCAGCCTCCTGAGTAGCTTGAGTAGCTGGGATTACAGGCATGCGCCACCATGCCCTGCTAATTTTTTTGTATTTTTAGTAGAGATGGGGTTTTTCCATGTTGGTCAGGCTGGTTTCAAACTCCCGACCTTGGGTGATCTCCCCACCTTGGCCTCCCAAAGTGCTGGGATTATAGGCATGAGCCACTGTGCCCAGCCACCTTCTATATTATTCTATATTTCTAGTAACATTCTGATGATGACCACTTAAGTAATTGCTAAGAAGTTTCAGACTTTCCCTATGGTGCTTCTCTTCCAAACCCTTAACCAGAATGGCCCTTAATGCACCACTCATAGCAGTCAAGGCTTTTTCTAGCCTTTGTCTCCAAATTCTTCCAGTCTCCAGCCATTAACCAGTTCCAAAGCCACTTCTACAATTTTAGATATTTCTTATAGCAACAACCCCTCTCTTGTTCCAATTTTCTGTCATACCCTGTTTTCTGTTTCTATAACAAAATTCCACAGACTGGGTGATTTTATAATAAATAGAAATGTATTTGGCTTATACTTCTGGAGGCTGGGAAGCCTAAGAGCATGATGCTGGCATCTCGCGAGAGATTCTATGTTGCACCATAACATGGTGGAAAGGCAAGTGAGCATGAAGACCAGAGAAAAAACAGCACTGAACTCATCCTTTTTATCAGGAATACACTCTCTCAATAACTAACTACTCTAGAGATAATGGCATTGGCGTTTTCATGAGGGCAGAGCCCTCATTACCTACTTAACTATCACACTTCTTAATACTGTTACATTGGCAATTAAATGTCCATATGAGATTTGGAGAAGGCATTCAAGCCATAGCTCTGGGCCTACCTTGATAATTTGCCTGATATAGCAGTTGCTGTAGAATATATATAATTTCTAGAGTCTTATCCCTGGTCTCCTAACTCTTGTGGCTGAAGACTTGATACTTGATAGCAGACCTAAGCACTTCTTCTCCTAGACTTTTACTTATTGCCTTCTGCCTAACTCCTTAAAACTTCTCCATCAGCCCAGGTTTCCTTCCTTAATGCCAAATCCGTATCTCCAGGTCCTATCAACTGGAGGTGCCACCCGCTTACTCCCTGTTTGACTCTTTGATGGAGGTACAATGAATGGATGACAAAATCATCTTGGATCTCTCTTGGCTGTGGGAGTGAACTGTAAAAAATCATGGAGATGAAGGAGAGGGGGTGGAAGAAGCTCTTTGTGCTTCATACCCTCCAAGAGTTTCATGAACATTAAGTGCTTTGAACTCTGCAGTTTGATTTCTGTCTTTATGGAATGTCACCAACACATCCTGAATGCCCCAGAGTTTACTTTCATTATTTAGATGTCCCATGTAAGTTAGTGGTCTCTTCCCAACAAGGTAAGTTTCTTATGAGTAGGTATCATAAGTCTTCTTATTTCAATGTCAGTGCAACTACCATTTTTGAGCACTTATAATATGCTAGCTGCCATGCTAAGTGTTTTATTTACCTTAACTCAGTATTTAGAATAATATTTTAAGGAAGGTATACATATTTCTATATCACTGGAGAAGAAACTGGAACATAGTGGAATTGCAATTAAAATCCATGTATGTCTGCTTCCAAATACTTTTTTTGAGACAAAGTTTTGCTCTCGTTGTCTAGGCTGGAGTGCAATGGTGTGATCTCGGCTCACTGTAACCTCTGCCACCTGGGTTCAAGTGATTCTCCTGCCTCAGCCTCTCAAGTAGCTGGGATTACAGGTGCACACCACCATGCACGGGTAATTTTTGTATTTTTAGTACAGATAGGGTTTTACCGTGTTGACTGGACTAGTCTTGAACTGCTGTCCTCGGGTGATCTGCTCACCTCCGCCTCCCAAAGTGCTGGGATTACAGGCATGAGCCACTATGCCCAGCCCAAATACTTTCTTAAACAACAAAACACAGCACTGAGTTTAATGAGAGAATAATACTTGACTTTGACTTTAGAAAATTATGTTTTAAAAATTATTCTACTTCATATTCATCAAGATGGCTACTATCAACATTTGTTAATAGAAAATTACAAGTACGGGTGAGGATGTGGACAAATTGGAACCCTGGTGCACTGTTGGTGGGAATGTAAAATGATGCAGCTGCTATGAAAAAAGGATGGGAGTTTCTCAAAATATTAAAAATAGAATTACTGTATGATCCAGCAATTTCACCACAGAGTATATACCCAAAAGAATTAAGACCAGGGTCTCAAAGAGATATTTGTACACCCATGTACATAGGAGCAGCATTGTTCACAATAGCCAAAAAATAGAAGCAACTCAAGTATTTCCTTGACAGATGAAAGAATAAACAAAATGTGGCATATACATACAATGGAGTATTATTCAGCCTGAAAAATGGAAGGAATTCTGACACATACTATAACATGGATGAACTTTGAGGACATTAGGCTAAGTGATATAAGCCTTTCACAAAAAGAAAAATGCTGTGTAATTCCTCTTGTTTGAAATATCTAGAGTAATCAAATTCATGGCAACAAAATAGAGTGCTTGTTTTCAGGCATTGTGGGGAGGGAAAAATGAGGAGTTGTTGTTTAATGGTTACAGAGTTTCAGTTTTGCAAGACGAAAAGTTCGGAAGATTGATTGTACAATAATGCGAATATAGGCCGGGCGCGGTGGCTCAAGCCTGTAATCCCAGCACTTTGGGAGGCCGAGGCGGGTGGATCACGAGTTCAAGAGATCGAGACCATCCTGGTCAATTTGGTGAAACCCCGTCTCTACTAAAAATACAACAAATTAGCTGGGCATGGTGGCACGTGCCTGTAATCCCAGCTACTCAGGAGGCTGAGGCAGGAGAATTGCCTGAACCCAGGAGGCGGAGGTTGCGGTGAGCCGAGATCGCGCCATTGCACTCCAGCCTAGGTAACAAGAGCGAAACTCCATCTCAAAAAAAGAAAAGAAAAAAAAAAAGCTATTATACTTAACAATACTGACCAGTACACTTAAAATAGCTAACATGGTAAGTTTTACATTATGTGTATTTTTTTCCACAATTAAAAGATATTCTTACATAGAGAGGGTGAACTGAAATACTATATAATATTGTGCTATGTCCAATAATACATATGCAATGTAATTTTGCTATTGAAGGTACTAGTTCTAATGACAAGAGTGGTCAAATCCTTATATAATGCAATTGTTCTGAATTCTGGATTTAAGATATTACTATACAAAGACATGTCTGGGCACATTGAAACAATTTTTGCCAAGATCATCATGGTGCTGAATAGTGATTAAGAAAAGTTGGTAAAAATTTAAAACATTGTGTCTTGTCTCTACAACTTAGTTAGAAGTGTTGTTGTTGTTGTTGTTGTTTTTGGTGGGCAAAAGCATACATGTTATGTTCATGCAGAGACACAACTACCTCACACATACTCTGACTGTTTAAGTTTCTCTGAAAACATGTATTATTTAATGAATCAGTACCTCTGCTGTGTGACAAATTGTGCTTATCTATACTTCCCTGTCTCATATCTAACAAAATTACGTGTCTGGTGCCAAATATCATGGTCAGACTTACCTGCAGGGCTTTTAAAATGCATATGTGTCATTATGTTTGAAAATAATTTCTCCTGTAGCTTCCATACTGTATTAAAGCATAGAAATCATCCACGTTTTTAGTGGGAAGTACTTTTCGTTATTTCATAGCTTTTTGGTATATTGAATAGATAATTATATTGTCTGTTATGTTCCATTAATGAAGATTATTATTGCTTTGATTTTTATAATATCATAATGGACTATTACTAACTCTTAAAATGCCGACAATTTTGAGGTGTTTTAGATGGATAGGGTGTAAATAGATGGCTGTGGATTTGACAGGAAGCTGGGAAGTTTCCTTGCTCAAAGATATAGGCCTTCTGTGGGTAGTTGAAGTGCCTCTGATAATGATTCATTGCTTTCTGTTGAGCTTTTTCCTCATATAGTGGCTCTTTTCTGAATTGCAAACATTCCAGGGAGGTAAAACATACTGTGTAACTCACATCCTACTATGAAATAATTGATCATATCTTTTCTATCAGAAGAGAGACTAGAGGGTAAGTACTGACAGGATTTGTGAAAGAAGACCACCTAAGGATGGTTCAGATCTGATAGTTATAGGTTGCAGAAGATTCCCCCTTCTATCTAAACAGATAGCTAAGTTCCAGTCCTTTTTAAAAACAGGTTTCTCAATTGCAATTTTAAGCTTTGTCGATAGACACAAACTGAAATGGAAATCTGGGACAATTATCCAGATTATTTCATTTTTAAAACCCTTCATTAAGGCTAAATAGGGAGCTTTAGCTTAAATTATTCAACTGGACTAGTTACATTAAAATTATCTCAAATTGCCTTGCTCCCTTGTTCACCTTATCTGTTTAGAGAGACAGACCTTAGGCTGTGTCTGCCTTACCCTGTATGGATTGATTTGGGGACAAAAAATTCAATTAGTTCTATTCACAGTGGACCATCTTAGCATTGTATAAATGTTAAGTGAATGGTTTCTGGTTTCTTGCTGCCCCATTCCACTGTAAAGCCTGGGAGGGTCTCAGTCTAACACATTTAATGATCCCAGTTCAGCTGGTTCACTATGCATCTGTGCGAGTTTCCATTTGGCAATTTATTTTAAATATGTTGCCTTCAAAAATGGCTTTGCTTTAGGACAATCTAAAGAGCCAGTTCTTTGTTTGAGGGGCGAACAAAAGCAAATTGAGCCATTGTGTTGGTAGCTAACATCTACTGTGTACTTACCATGCACCTGATACCTATCCTCTCATTACAGGGTAATTGTAAGTGGTGCAGTGACTTCAACCCTAGCAGTTGGGGCTATAATCCATGTGCTTAAGTGCACAGTGCTGTACTGAAAGGCAGTAGAGCAGGCAGGTCAAAACTGTGGGCTGTAGACTCAGATGCTGAGTTATGTAACCTCATGTGTCTCAGTTTCTCTCTCTGTAAAATGAGAGTAATAACAGTTCCTTTCTCAGTTTGTTGGGAGGATAGAAAGTGAATATATATAAAACTCTTAGAAGAGTACATGGTGCATAGTAAATCCCTTAGTAAATATTACCTATGTGTTATCAACATCGTTCTTGCTATAGTCCTTATAGCCAATGGGAACAATGCTTCCCAAAAAGATTACGTGGAAATCCCTGTCTTTTGTCACTGAATTTACCCTTCCCCCATCTTTAATCCCCTCTGCACCAGTGCCACTCACCCACTGTATCTACTCTCACTTATACACCATATATATTCTTAAAAATTGAGACTGGCTCTAGGACTGTACATTTGGGCAGGGTTATAAATGAAGATTAAATCTGCTATTTTGGTCCAGGTGGCATCATAGGCTTACTTCTTATCTTTTCACCTAAAAATAAATGTCATCATGACACGATTTGTATAGCACTTTTTGGTGGTAGCATATTTTTATATTCATTATCTCATGTGATATACTGAACTTTTGTAAGACTGTTCCAGATATTTTTCAGATCTGAATTTCTGTAACAGGCAGATGTGACTTCCATCAATGGAAGTTGGAGGGCAGAGAAGTTAAATATTTTATAGAAGAATTACTCACCAGTAGGGTGGGGGTGCTGGGTCTCTGACTTTGGACCTGGGAGCAGTAGAAGTTGAAGGAAGAAGCAAGAGAAAAGCTTGGTATTATTCTGGGAATTTGAGTACCTGGGAGTGTTAATGTCAGGCCTAAGGCCAGTAAAGCAGAAAAAGGAAAGAAAAAGCAAACAGAGAAAAGAGGTTTATAGACTGGGAAGATCAGGGAGCACTAACAGCAGCTTCTTCAAAGTTGCTGACTATTTGCATCTAAAAATGGATGTTTCTCAATGGCAGGTCTTTATCTAGGTCCTGAATTTCTCCTCATGGTACTTAATGTACTATTGCTGAGTGTCTAATGAATTGTTCTCTCTTGTGCAAAGGACTTCTACTATAGCAGCTACTGTGAGCTTAAGCGATGGAAAATGGTTCATTTGCCACATTGAAGAGGAAGACCTCCTATGAAGTTAAGGAATTGGATGAAAATGATGGGTATTCTCTGGGGTGGATGAAATTAGAGCTCTGTGGTCCAGAAAATAAACTGTGCTTTAGTACAGATATATTTATGGAAACATCAATAAACACTGTGATTAAACTGCAGATAACATCATAGAGAACTATTCAGATAACTATTACACAATTTAAAAAATCCTTCCTCATATTTGCAGGTAAAAATCTTATGTTAACCAATCAGATGGGCTACTCAGGTTTTTTATTGATACATACATAATAACTTGCATATATTTATGGGGTACATGTGATATTTTGGTACATGAACACAATGTGTAATAATCAAATCAGGGCAATTAGGATATCCATCACCTCAAACATTTATCATTTATTTGTGTTGTGAACAGTTTAAGTCTTCTCTTCTGCTCTTTTGAAATATATGATCAATTATCATTAACTACCTATTAATGATACCATTAACTCACCCAGCTGAGCTATTGAATAGTAGGACTTGATCCACCAAACTGTATTTTTGTACCCATTAACTAACCTCTCCTCATTGCCTCTTTACCCTTCTCAGTCTCTGGTACCCATCATTTTACTTATTACTCCCATGATATCAATATTTTTAGCTCCCACATATTAGTGAGAACATATGAGATTTGTCTTCTTGTGCCTGGCTAATTTCCCTTAACATAACGATTTCCAGTTTTTTCCATGTTGCTACTAAGACACGATTTCATTCTT